GCTGTAGAGGCTGGGGTGGGGCAAAGAGAGCCTGAGCTGCTCCATTTCCCTACAGGTGACAGAGAAGGAGCAGCAGGGCTGCTGCTGGAGCCCGGCTGGGCAGCATCCATAGAGGGAGGGACGACCCAGGAGGCCGTGGCTGGGAACGGAGGGTGGCTAGGAGGTCCCTGGCCAGCCTGGAAGGTGCTGGGAGGCCTGAGTATCTGGACGAAGGGCCTGAGGAGATGTGGGGTGAGGGAGGTGTATGTGGGGGGCCTCTCAGGGGCCCAGCCTGGGTACTGGGTGACTGAGGGGGGTCTCATCTGAGGTAGGACCACTGGTCCCTCGGGAAGCCGAAGGCAGGGCTGGCACTGAAGCAGGCACTCGCCTTTTGGTGAGTGTAAACGATGCTGCTATGAACCGGCTGTGCAGACCCACCTCTGCTTTGGATTCTCCTGGGGAGATGAGGGAAGCTGAGGGGTGCCGGGCAGGGCCTGCTGAGACCAGAGAGGTGGAGATCAGGGCTCCTGCACCAGCTTTGCTGCCTCACAAGCATATTCCTTGATTCCCTGAGGCTCCGCACCCCAGTTGTGTGAGGAGCTGTGCCCCTGCCGTGCTGGCGTGCCAGAGCTTTCCACATGACGAGCCCAGTGCCTAGTGCAGGACTTAACAGTGCAGAGGGGAGTGCCCAGGAGGCACCCACAGTACCTGGCACAGAGGCCCTGTTCCTTGTCAGCCTCAGTTTGCCCTCCGTAAAGTGCGGAGACTAGGCTAGGTCAGCACGGCCCTGGCTACAGGATATGGGGTGATTTCTGGTGGAGAGAGGGCTCCATGTGCACTGGCTGGGGGTGGCGCTGCGTCTCCAACTCCTGTGCCGCTTCCTGAGTCCCCTTCTCAGGGTACACAATGGGCCTCAGTGCCTTTTGTTTACTCACCATGTACATTTTCATTCTTGCTTTATTTATGTTGGAAAGCTAGAAAAACAAAGACAGTTCTATAAAGAGCACCTGTTGACCCTCTGCCCAGATTAACATTTCAACACGTTGTAATTTGCACCTCCCCCACCCCACCCCCTCTTTTTCAGGATAAGTTGCACCCTGTCATGCCCCTCCCTTTCCGAAGGTGCAACTTGCATTTGCCTATAGGTGTTCTCTTCGAAGACCTCAGCACAACCGCCGGCTTCTTTGTAGTTTTCCGCTGTCCGTGTTCCAGTGTCCACTGGCCATTAGGTGTCCTTTCTAGTCCATGTCCCCATCTGGTACAAAGTCCATTCTGGAGTTAGGCAGTGCATTCGTCACTTCTCTTTAGCCCCCTTCACTCTGAAACATTCCACAGCCTGCCTTTCTCATTCACAACAGTGACACTTGAAGCACATGGGCACCCCCCCACTCCCACCTCCTTACCCCCCCCCATCTTAATAAAATGATCCCCATTCTGACTTTGCTGTTTCTCTGTGCTTAGATTGAGGTTATACAGTCTTGGCTGGGACACGGCACACGTGACATCATGTCCTCCTTGGCGTGTCACCTCTGGAGGCTTGTGATGTCCTCCGTCCCTCATTGGTGGTGCCCATCTTGGTCACCTGGTTTAGGAATTGTCCACTTTCTCCACTGTATAATTACTTTCTCTTTTCTTTGCAACTAATCAGCAGTCCATGGGGAGGTAATGATAACACCTCCTTAGAAGCCCCTTAGACTTGTCCTTCGGGATGATTCTTGCTTACCCAGTCTTTACCGGGATGGAGGCGGAATGCTAGATGGCCAGTGGCAGGGCGCTCCCTGGGTTTCAAGGCCAGCCCTCGTCACTCACTGTGGCAAGGTCACACCCTCCTGCCCATTTGTTTCTCTATCTATTCTTGCCATAAACTCACGGATTCAGTTTTTTAGTGGTTACTGTATTTAATTAATTGGATGTTCAAATTGTCCCAGATTTGGCCACTGGGAACTTTTCAAGCTGACTGCTAGCCCTTGTGATGAGCCCCCATCATTTTCCCAAGCAGTCCTTGCGCTATATGGCATAAAAAGTCCTGACCCACCCTGCCCACTCCTGGGAGTAGGCATTGCTCTGAAAAACCCCAGTTCCTCTATGTGGACAACCAGAGGTGGAGAGAGATCTGGGCGCTAGATGTGCTCTTTGCTGCTAGGGGTTCTTGCTTTTTCACTCTTTAAGTGAACAGAACTAGGAAATAGGTGCATGTATACATGCAAAACACATTTATGATGACATGTGTGTATGCACACATACACGCATATTTTAAAATTCTTGTTTGTCTTTCCCCATTCAAGACTTGTTTGTCTCTTCTTGCTCTGGCCTGTAATAGTTTCGGGATTGTTTATTGTTTAGTGAACAAGGAGCTCAGGATGGGTTGCAATTCCCCTCGACCCACTGCCTCACCTGTGCCCCCAAGAGTACAGAGCCAAGTAACCTGTTCACTAACTGCTTGCGTGAGTCTGTCCTCGCTTCCTCCTTTTCCCCTTCAAAGCAGGGGAGTCGGTGTTCATTTGAAATAAATCTGAGTCCCTCCCCACACAGTTTAGGAGTCTTCTTTCCCATTCTGATTGATTTAATTTCTAGTTTTGAAAATGGAATATTAACAAATTCAAAGCTAAGCAAAAAGCTATGTTCAAAGAAGTGTCCTTCCCCTGAGTCTCGCCATCCCATCGCCCACCACTTGTGGATAGCCAACTTTTTTTCCTGGAATATCCTTCCTGTGTTTCTTTTTATAAAAAGCAGCAGATCTATGTGTTCCCTCCTCTGTTGACACACTGTGTGCTATGCTCTTTGCTCTTCTTGATGCTTAGCAGTATCTCCAGAGATCGACCACGGCAGTCAGAGCACAGGCCGTGTGCATGCTGCTGTGCCTGGGCATCTAGGTAGTTTCCAGTGTTTTGCAATTACAGACACTACTGAGTGAATACCCTTATGTGTGCTTTTCCATCGCATCGGAGGTGTGTCTTCCAGATAGATTTCAGTGAGTGGCATTGCTGGACTGAAGGGTATCATAGTGAGTTAAAGTTTCCTCTTAAAATGTATTTCAGTTTAAAAAACAGCAAGAGAAATCAATGCATTGTTTAAGTAAATAATGGTATGGGTAACACAGAGACGTGGCAAACACCGGAAAGACAGCTGGACAACGAGGTCTAAGTATAATTGGGCGAGGCTGCTGCAGCCCCTCCCGGTTCCAGACTGGAAGCCTGGTTGGGTTGGGGTGCATGGTGGAGCAGCTGAGGTGCACCCAGAGGCCCCCTGGGAATTCTTCATCAGAGCCCAAGCCCTGGCCTCATTGACATCAGATTCCCCTGGGAATCTCTGTCCACCTGCCACCCTGGTCTGCTTTCCCTGGTGGCAGCAGTATGGCATGTGGTCCGGGATGGAGCTAAGCCGCCCCAAGGAAATGCAGTGTCAGCAGAAGCGGGGTGGGGGTTAGGGCAGAAAACTACACAGAACCATGCTGAACTTTCTGGTTTGGCTTAAGGGGGTTCACTTTGACCTGAAATACCAGGAAAGTGAAATCCTCTTCAGCATCCATCTTTAAAAACGATTGTAGAAGCTGTATTAGAACAGTGAGATCTGGGGAGACTCACTCCTCCACAGCCCGTCACCTCCTGTGTGTGGTGGGGCTTGCTCCTGTCCTTCTGGAAACAGCCCTGGGGTGCTGGCAGACCATGGGAAGAGCCTCCACTTTCATGAGTTCTTCTGCTACAGCAGCCAGGCGGGGGGCAGTGCAGGCCATGGGTCTGAACTGAGAGGGCGGAAGCCAGTGGCTCCTGGCCGGATGCCTCAATGGTGAGCCCTCTGAGTACACAGGAGCACACGAATAAAGGCGTGATTTAAGCATGCATCTAAATAGAATGTGTATGTTTGTGTTACGGTGCTAATGTTACACACATCATCAAGTAAAACAGACTTTTTTAAAAATGAGAAAAATGAAAAAGAAAAGAGGTACTGCCCAGTGAATCACATCTTATGTACCCACTGAGGTGTTTACAACCCCACTTTGGAGAAACCTGGGACAGTGGGGTGGAGACACCTGAAGGAGGTGGGTGGAGGTGCTTTGGACACTGGAGCCCCAGTGAGGATCAATACAGATGAGGGACTGCTCGCTGAAGCCCGTGTTCTAGAGGGAGTTAGCAGTGTGTAAACTGACAAGCAAACCAGTACAGAGACTGCAAACCCAGGTAGCATGAAGGACACACAAACTAAAATCAAAGTGAGGGAGGAAGGGACAGATCTCCTAGACAGAAGAATTCCAAGTAATTTATGTAGCTGCTCCCTGCTCGGGACAGAGGCCTTACTGCCTGCCCTTTAAGCGTGGGCTGCGCTTAGGGACTTGCTTCCAAAGAGGCCAGGAGGAAAGCAGGACGAAAGGGGGGACTGACAGGAATGAATCTAAGGAAAAAGATAGCGTGGCTGGGCCAGAGCCCCAGGGTTTGCTCCCATCCTTCTGGAAACAGAAACCAGTTCACCTGGCATCATCATTGTTTTTTTTTCCACCATGTCTCCCAAAGATGGGAGCAGTGACCTGAAGTGTCAAAAGTACCCAGGTATCTAACCCGTGTGTCAGCAAAGTCTGTACTGGGGACACCTCAAAGCGCCCCAGCACCCATCTGTACTTCCAGATATTTCCTATATTGGCTCACACCTTTTTCAGAAAGATGAAAATGCACAGGTTGCTACAACCACCTTTATTTAATTGGGAAAAATAAAATGAGGTTCCCAGCCTCTCTGCTTTCTAGAAGTTGTAAGTGGAGAGGGAAAACAAACGGCTCCCATCATGTCAAAGCCTTTTTGAAGGTGTGAAAGGGTTCAGCATATTTTAGTGACTTTGACTGTATTCTGTTAACCACGGATCCTTTCTCTACGCTGCCTGGGCCCCGGAGTGAGGTGCCGGCTCCCATGTGTGTCCCCCTGCCTGCTGCACATGGGCTGATGCGTTAGGAACCTTGACTAGGAGTGTGTCTTTATATCTTGGTCTGTGAGGTCGCTCTGCCTGCGCTCATCCCTGTCTCTGTTTGCCGTAGAGATTGAGATGGTCATCATGGAGCGCAACAAGCTCCCGGAGCCGGCAGCCAGCCCCTCAGTGCAGGAGCAGAACACCACAGACGAGGAGAAGAGCGCCGCCGCCACGGGTGTGGACCGCACGCCCTGGAACAGGTAGCGCCCGGGGACCAACCCTCCACCTGGGGGCCAGCCCTCTGCCCAGGGACCAACCCTCCAACCAGGGACCAACCCTTTGCCGGGGGGGCCAGCCATCCACCTGGGGCTGGGGCGTACTCAGTCTGTGGAATGAGGTGCTGGGCCCAGCCACACTGCCCACTCAGGATAGCCCAGAGCTGCTCCTGCCAGCCACATGTGCCTCGTGGCCAAGCCATCTGCTCCTTCAGACAGGGACTCCACAAGGACAGAGGGACAGAGCTGGCCCTAGGCACCATCGTGCTCATTCCTTGGGAAGAGAATGCGAGACAAGGAGCCACCACTCGGCTGTCCTTTGGTGCTGGGCCCCGTCCTGAATGGTGTGGGCCGCCGTCTCGTCCCGGCCATGCTTGGCAGGGCTCAGCTGCTCCCTGTCTAGCTCACTCTCTGCCGTCCCGAGGGCCTGCCCTCTGACTCAGGCGTGATTTAGTGCCGCTGTCCACCTTTGACTTTCTGCCTAAATGCTCATTTCAGTGATGGCCTGCCAGAGCTACGGCCTCTTCAACCTTGGCGATGCCACGATTCCTGGAATCTTGCTGGAGCACTGTGCCTCCCGGAGTGGGGCGGGGTGGGAGGGAGGGTAGGATGGCTGTGCCCAGATGGGCTCTGGACTGTTCGGAGGGCTTCCTGAAGCATCATTTCCTTAACAAGTGGCCCCCACTGCACAGACTGTCCAGCAGTCCCTCCCCACCCCCAACCCCAGCACACGGGGAGCACCCACGCTGTTTATTAGTCCAACTCCAAGTGAAGCCTGAGGCGTCTTTCATTCCTCTCCATCTTGTTCCTCTCTTTGCTTGGCAGATGTTTCATTAATCGGACAGGATTACTTTTTATCAGACAGGCAAGAGAACCATTTTTAGCTTTTGTTAAATGAAAAACTGGACCACCATGTGGGCTGCCCCTGGGCATGATTTAGACCGTTTTGATTTTGCCTGGTGGCAGAAATGAACTTCTGAAGCTCTGAAAACTACAGAAATCATTCTAAATCATTCTGAACTCCCTTTAAGCAGAAAGGGAGAGGGAAACCACCTTGAGGTGCCTGGCACAACGTTAGTTAGAAGGTGAATCATTGGAAAGCTCACAAACGACTAGCCGTAACGGGCAGATCCAGCGTTCGCTCGGACGTTTGCTGTGACGTGCGCGCTGCCAGGACGTTCGTCTGCATCCCAGGCAAAATCAGGCCTTGGGAGCCAAGAACGCTTCAAAACACGCTTTTCCTAAAAAACTTTTTAAAATTATGAGTCTAATTCAGACACTCAGAAAATGTGAAAAATCTTGAAGAGCACGAAAGGGAGGGGAGGAGCCCCCTGGGTGCCATCATTCCAGGCAGCTGTTCTAACATTTGTTTTCCCTACCAGTCACTGTTCAGTGCTAATTGGGTGGGAATTCTGCCTCCCCTCCCACAAAGCTGGACCCAACCATTTCATGTCTTCTTCTTTTCCATCTGATACCAATCCCCAACATCTTTTTACTCCATTGTCTTCTTAGTAAACAAAATGCTAATTCGTCTCTTAAGGGGTGGTGCACCCACCCAGCCCTCCCCCTGCTGTTGGGCGTTTGGTTATTCATATTATTCTGAAATGAAAACACAATCCAAATTCTGAGCTGCTGATTTGTAAGAAAATGTTTTCTACTTTATCCCACTCTCTGAAGTTTGGAGATGGAGGTGTTGGGACCTTACAAACCCCACACGCTCACATGGCAAAACCACGCACCAAGAGGCGATGCCCACTCTGGGGTTCCAGAGACTGACTGCCCTCAGGGGTTTCCCTGAATTCCTGTGTGTCTTGTGTTTATCTGAAACATTATGACAACTACATTTCCACTACTGTATCCTTTGTGCTTTTCATTTTAATACTTGGAATCATTGGTACATTTATGGAATGCAGGATTCAAACAAGTATAAAAGGTTATGCAGGGAATAGCCTCTCTTGCCCTCTTCCACTCCCGGGGTCACTCCCCATAGATACCCGATATGTTGACCGTCTCTGGGTCCTTCCCGGGGTATGTACTTTTGGTCACTTACCGAAGTGCTGTGTTTTGGCTTCTACCTGGTATGCAGGGGCAGCCGCAGGCGGTTACAGGGTCAGAACCTCCCGCCTCCGAAGATCTGTGCATATTGTTAAGGTTGGTGTTAGAGAGTATTCTGGGCCAGGTCCTTCCGTCCCCTGGAAGAGCAGCATTTGAGGTGTGTGGTTGGCACTATTTGTAGTCACTCTGGACCTCACCACAGCATCAGAGGTGAGAGACTCCTGTCGCTTCTCACCTTCTCCTGTCGCTTTCAGTCAGGGAAAGTTGGTTCTAGAAATTACTGGGTCAGGTCCTGGCTAAGTGAGCCTGGGAATATTCTAAACAGATATCAGACCCTGCTCCAGGCCTTAGCACCTTCCATGATGTGCCTGGTCCTGTGCTCCATGACTTTCTGTCATCATTTCCCACATATCCTCACAATAACCATGTAAGGACCTAATCCCCATCTTTTGGGTTCAAGGTAACTGGTCCAAGGATGTGCAACTAAGAAGAGGCAGAACCAAGATCTGAACCCAGGGATCTGGCTCCTGAGTCCACATTCTTGAAATCTGCTGTGCATTGTCTGGAAGGCCCTTTTATTAGTCTGTCACGTTGCCCTATTTCTTCATTCTCTTGTCACTCTTTGAAGCGACCATGTGGTCTGTCTGTTCTCTTATCTGCCCAGTGCATGGGCATGCCCCAGGAGTAGGGACTTTGTGTCATTGGTCCCCAGGGTCTGGCACACCCAGTGAGCCCTGATTAAGTGGGCTCCTCTTGGCCACTGTCCCCTGGAGATGGCAGTTTCCCATGGGCAGAGCCTCCCATGGGCAGACACCTTGCATGATGTCCTCTGTGTCTGGCGCTAGTTGGCACATGGGTTGGGGGGTGGGCACCAGAAGGAGGGAGGCATTCATCATGCACTCCTCTAGGCTCATGTATGCCCCTGCCCTTTCCCAGACCCTTCCTGGAGATGGTGTACCACGCGCTGGACAGCCCAGATGATGATTACCATGCTCTCTTTGTGCTCTGCCTCCTCTATGCCATGTCTCACAACAAAGGTAAGCCCTCCTCGCCTCCTGTGCCATCCCCTCCTGCTCATGCAGGATTCCCTTTCCAGCTTCAGCAGACCCCCACCCCCCACCCCTGCCTCGCATCCCCAGAACTCTTCAGCCTTCTCAGAATTTCTCAGGTGCTTCTCATGAAAGCCACAGGAATTGGTTACTCAGGCAGTTTGGGGGGAAAGGTTCAAGTGTTGACTGTCGAACCCATATGTTGTTCACACCGTGGTTTTCTCTTGACCCCTAGCTCTACAATTGAGCGAGCATCCAGCTTCGTTCCTGCCGTCACAAGTGAGATCAGTCACACTGGAATCTTGGTTTTGCTATCTTTAACACTTCTTGCTCTGAGTTGAGACTAAAATTGACCCCGGGTGGGTTGTGTGGAAGTGCAGGTTTCCTTTCTGATGAAAGGTGTGGTTCTCTGGCTTCCCCTGTTGATGTTGAGTGGGTAGGATCAGACCCCTGAGCTGACGGGCAGGTCTTAATCCTAAGATCCATTCATTCACTTCATCATGGGGAATAGCCGCTGGGGGTTGCCCCCTTGACTGGACACAGCAAGTTCTGAAACCTCCACGTCAGAAGCTCTTCAAGGCAGAAATCAAGGATGTTCCTTCTGGCCTCTGCCATGAGCTCGACATCTGAGACTTTGCATCAAGTGCTGTTATAGTAGATTTTTCATAAGCATATTGGGGAGTAGGTGGGTGGGTTTTACTGAGACAGACACCTTGTTGCCAACACACCTACGAGATCCTGGCTCGTCTTCCCCAGCTCGTCTGTGTGGGTGAGCTTTCTGGCCTTTCTCTGCCCCGCTTTCCCTGTTCTCCTCACAACCTCACACATCAGTGTGGCATTTCACACCCATGAAGCACTGCCTTGTTCATTTTGACTCTATGTCTGGGCCATATTTATTCCACCATGTTTTTGCTGAATGACACCGAGACTATTTCTGGACTTTTCTTATTATCGATAGACAGGACTGGCCATGATGGCGCCTCATGTGAACGTCATGCTCACACACATGCCTGTAGGTCCAGCCTGAGACCTGGGAACAAAGCACTGCGTGCTCTGAATCCCACAGATGTTTCCCTCTGCAGTCTCGTTCACCCCAGGGCTGCAGCTGTCCTCTTCAGCTCCTGGTCTGGCACTCAGGCACCCTCGGATCTCCGTGAGACTGCCACCTCCCCCCTGGATCGTCACTCTCCTGGCCCCTGGCTTTTCTGTCCTATTCTTTCTAGTTCTTCCATCTGACCCCAACCAGTTGCAAACAGGATTTTTCTTATTTAGGTGTTTTAGCAACACCTTGACATGGTCTCTTTACACAATACTCATCACCCATAAATATACACTGACCTCATCACACTTCCTGCCATTTCTGGTTCAGTTGAAATTGCCAACCAAGGTTGAAACTGCCATGACCTTTAGCTTTTTCCCTCCTTCGATCCCAGCATTTAGTCATCAAGTTTTGTCAGTTCTTCCCTTTCTGCCTGTCTGATAAGCAGACTTTAACTGAGCACAGCTCACAGCCTGACTCTAAGGTGTTTGGGGCAAGAACCAGAGGCCGGGCCTCCCCGGTGGCGCAGCGGTTGAGCTCTGGGTTGCGAAGCTGCCCGCAGCCTCTGCAGCGCCGGTTCGATCCCCGGCTGCTCCCCGGCCACCGGAGGAGGTTCCTGCATGGCGCGCAGACCTCTCCTGCCGCCCGCTGCTCCCCTCAGCAGTGTACTTCGCTCCTTCTGCCTGCTCTGCTCCCCGCTCTGGCTCTGGTGAATTCTCTCACCCTCCCGCGCTTCTGACTGTACCCAGTGCATGGATAAATAAATAAATAAATAAATCTTAAAAAAAAAAAAAAGAACCAGAGGCCCAGAGCAAGTGGAGACCTGGGTGTGTCGTTCTGGTGGCCACAGTTGCAGCCTCCTTCAGGGTCAGCTGTCTGGCCGTGCTATAATCCAGCTTGCAGCGCGCGGCAGAGAACCCTCCATAAGACGGGGTCCATTTATTCTGTCCCCTAAGCTCCACCGTGCAAGCTTGAGCTCATTCTCCTGACTCCCTTCATGGACCCTTGACTGTGGTCCAGGGGTTCAAGTTTTTATCTGATGATAGAATTCTTTCATAGAGAGAAACTTGGAATTGCCATCATGGTCCTCACTGAACTCTTTAATGTTCTTTTGGTTGCAAGCAACAGAAACCACCTCTCAATAACTTAAGTGGAAGAGAAACTCCAGGAAGAGCCCTAGGATGCTCATAGGATCAAAGAAGTTACTGAAAAGCCCAAAGGAGGGCAGGAACTGACCACTCTCCTTCTTCCCTCAGGCTGTGGTTTGGCCCCAGCAAATCTCAGGCTGGGGGGTCTGTCTCCACTCAAATTGCAAATACTTGGGCAAGTATTAGGATTGTTCCGGCTGGTGCAGTATCTAAATAAGAAACAGCCAGTTGTGGCTGGAGTGTCAGGGTCAGTTGGCACAGAGTTGGCCAGGGGGGCTTAGTCCTGAGCCTGAGACTATTCGCAGAGAAAGGACCATGTTTGGAAGCCTGGTTACCCCCTGAGTCGATGCCAACACACCTACCTAGCTAGTCAGCCACCTTCTTATCTTTCTTTGTGGGTTTTTCGGCCCTTTTCTCCAACCCAACATTACTGCCCAACATTATTGAAATTCTGCTGGTCTGTCTAAAGCCTGTTCAGGAATCACCTTCTCCAGGAAACTACTGAGGCAGTGTCTTTCTGTGGAGTCTACCTGATGATTCTGGGCTCAGTGGGCTCTCCAGTGGGAACATGAGCTCTGCCAGCCCCGGGGGACTCCAGGGATTGTTTCTCCCTGCTTTCATTCAGTTACTCTTTCTCTCTCCTAATGAACAGATCAGGATTTAGCTGAAGCCCCAGACAGAACCCTTCAACAGACCTCTCTGTATAGGTCCCTCCTCTCTGGCCCTCTCTCTCGTCTGTGATTTCTAGTTACTTGGCCTCTTTGAACTCCAAACTCTGCCTTCTCATCTCCAAGAGGCTAGGGTCTCTCTCTATGATGAGATCTGGAAACTTCCCAGCAGTGAGCTGAGCAGTCCTTGGCCCACCTGTCTGTTTCCTCTCAGAATCACTCTCCTGTGCTGCCCGTTGACCTGACCGGAGTCTGATGACCACTGCTCTGTATCTTAGTTTTTTCTAGTTGCTTAAATTAGGGGAGTAAATCTAATCCATCTTGACAGGAAGATGTGGTGCTTAAAAAATAAGTTTTATTGAGGTATAATTTTTGCTGAAATGCAATAAAAAGCACATATGTAACGCGTGCTAGTTGATACTTATGTCCACCTAGAAACTATCATTACAGCAATCAAGAAAGTGAACATATCCATCACCCCAAAAGTTTCCTGAGACCCCTTCTTCATTCCTCACACCCTTCCTCTCCTCTCCCAACCTCCCCAAGCAACACTGATCTGCTCCTTTTCACTATTGATTAGATTGCATTTTCTAGAATTCTATGAAATTAAAACCATGCTGTATGTATGCTTTTTTGACTTTGCTTCTTTCAATCTGCATAATTATTTCTTATTATTGCTGAATACTATTCTGCTGTGTGAACATAACACTCTATGTTTATCCATTCATCCGTTAATGGACATTTGGGTTGTTTCCAGTTTTTGACCATTAAAAATCGATGAACATTTGTGTACAAGGCTTTGTGCTGGTATATATTTCCTTTTCTCTTGGGTAAATGCCAAGGAGTAGGATGGCTGACTGAAGACAGGTGTGTGTTTGTTCTTAAGAAACTGCCAGTGTTTTCCAGAGTGGCTGTACATTACAGCCCTCCTTTGGTGCACAGGAGTCCCTCTGTATTCATAGCCTCACAGATGCCTTAGTCAGCGGATTTGTTGTGGATGGTGTCTCGTTGTAATTTTAATTTGCATTTCCCAGTTGACTAATGATGTTAAACATGTTTTCCAGCACTTCATTTGCCATCTGCATATCTTCTTTGGTGAAGTATCTTTTCAAATATTTTGCCCATTTTTGGATGGGTCGTTTATTTTCTTTTGTTAAGTTTTGAGAGATCTTTTTATATTCTGGGCACAGATCCTTTATCAGATGTGCATTGCAAAGATTTCCTCCCAGTCTGTGGCTTGCCATTTCATTTCCTTAACTCTCTTTTGAAGAGCAGATTTTTTGTGTGTGTGATATCCATGTAGGTCTCATGGCACTTCTCTCCACTGCTTTCTCTCTGTATGATTCCTGTCCCATCTGGCTTGATGGGCCTCTGAATATAGAGACTACATCTCTTCCCCAGTCTCCTGCAGTATCCAGCTGAGCTCCTGGCACCAAACTGTGTTGATTTCATGTCTCTTGGCCCAGCAACTACTCACCGAGGCTCACTGCCTGGAACCTGTGCTCAGGGCCACAACAGGGAAGGTGTAGCCAGGGGCGGTGGAGGTGCTGGACTCTGGGAGTCAAGGGGTATGTGGGTGAATGCTGTTTTGTAGCATGGACACTGCAGTGTTCCTGTGTCCAATGATGGGGCTTGGAGACACCACCCAAGTGCCTGCCTAGGGGGCCTACCTGTCTTTCTTTTCTTTTCTTTTCTTTTCTTTTTTTTTTTTTTTTGCGGGACCCTTGCTGGTGGCCGGGGATCGAACTGGTGCTGCAGAGGCTGCGGGAAGCCTCGCAACCCAACGCTTAACCGCTGCGCCACGAGGGGAGGCCCCTGCCTCTCTTTCTTAAAAGAGTGGGGCTGTTACATGTTTGAGGGAATTTAATTCCTTCTTTCATTTCCTGCCGAGGCCATTCATTTATTCATTTATTTGTTCATCCATTTACCCTACCAACAAATATTTTTCAAGTTCCATTAGATGCCAGGCACTGTGATAAATATTACGAATACAATGGTGAACCAAACAAATGTTTTCTTTGAGGTAAGTGTGACTGGAGTGGAGCATGATGGGGGTGATGGGGACGTGACAGGTGGGACACGTCACGGTGGCAGGTGCTTAGACTGTTCTGATGCAATGAGGGGCACTGAAGG